TCAAAGGTGCTATTGACTCCCATACTGCAGTCCTCCAGGCCCTAGCTTTCCTTGGACTCTCAGGGTCTGTGCTGCATTGGATCTGGAACTATCTGGTGGGCCACTCTTTCCTGGTGGCAGTAGGAGGTGAAGTCTCTACATCCCACCTGACCAGCCACAGTGTCCCACAGTATGCAAACTTTGGCCACTCCTATTCTCCATTTTCTCTCCGATTTTCCCGTCTTCCCTTGTGTTCAGGTTGTTGCAGACACCGACAACGTGACCCTAGTTGTGGAGAGTGTCACTCTCAAGAAGGTGCAACACACTCTGCAAGTAGTCGTGACTGTATTCTTGGCTTGTGTGATGGGGAAAGGCCTTTCCATCAACTCAGAGAAGAGTTGACATGTGCTTTATCTGGACCCGCTTGTCAGTCCAGCCGCTGGTGAACTGTTGTTTGAACTGGTGAGCATACTGTGTTGTGTTTTACCAGTAGCCACAGTCCACAGGTGGCTGATAGTAATACTCGAGTGTCCTCATTTGATGTGAGGCACTGTTTTACTTACCTGTTGCTGCGTCAGGGGTTTGGCCCCTGAAATATGAATGCCTCCTCACTATGTGTCACTGGCTTTAGAGGACCCTGAGAATCCCAGCTTCACATCCACTTACTTGCCTGGGGTATGAGCCCCACTGGTTGGATATGCCAGACGGTGTACACGGCGCCGCCAGCTGTGTTTTATAGTCAGGTACCTAGGGGCATATGCACGGCTTTTTCTTCCCGTTTCTGATCCCTGTCCCTGGTTCGGTTGTTTCTCTGATCCGTCGCTGGTAAGAAGATCTCGTATGTGTCAGTGTGGAATTTTCCAAGCAATACCTCAGGAAGAAGGATTCGGAGATTCTGGCTCCCTCAAGTTATGCTGAGCTGCGAGTCTCTAGGCATACTCTAGGCATTTTGAGGTTTACACAGATGAGTCCCATGAAAATCAGCCGCCTCCTACAGCTGCATACTTTACACCTCTGTCCTTTTGCCAGGCGTGTAAGCTATCCCACTCTCACTCCAACCTGGCAGGGGAAACTGCACTATTGTTTGCCCTGCACCTCCTTCGACAGGTATCCTACCAGCCAGCAATTGTTAAAAGTGGACACCATTGCGACCCTACACATCAAGTCTTCTTGACGAATCAGAGACACCATCACAAGGTCTCACCTTCTCGTGGAGCTATAGCAGTACCTTGGATCCCTAGAGCGGGTGGGGATCACTACAATGGATTCTGTCCCATGTAGGGATTAATAGAAAATGTGGTGGAGCATGCAGCGACTGGGCATGGCGCACAGCTACTGAGACATTTCACCTGTGACTCTGGATCTTTAAGCAGTCTGCCGTGAGTGCAGGGAGGAGACGTTTAGCACCAGCCCTTCGGGTTTCTTCCCTGGCTAGCCTTCGAGAGGAGGTCCTCTCTGCATCTTTGGGCTCGGCATTGCACTAGATTCTTGGACATGGCCTTCATTTGCCTCCAAATCGGGCATTCTTGCTTGGCAGCGCACCTCCATCGATTCTGTCTGTTGATTCTCCCTACTGCCTGTGGTGCCCGAGCCAGGAAGATACTGTGGAATACCTTCTTCTATACTGCTCCAGGTTTAATGGCACGTGTACGAAGTTTCAACGTGCCGTTCGTAAGTTACAATTATCCTGCATCATGGTTCCCGTTCATCTAGAGTGAGACATCAGATTCGAGATTCTTCGCCATACTCTTGGGTTCATCGCCCATGTCCATAGATTGCAGTGATTGTTGGGGGGATCCTATTCCGTTCCACTGTTTCCTAAAGTGGGTCGCTAGGGTACACCTGATCCCACGATCGTCGTAATCCCATAATCAACAACAATAACAATCTTTCCTATTAGATACCAGTAGGACTTCATAGAATGTCAATAGCTTGGTATACTTTACATATCGATAGCTATGATAGATAACAGAACAGCCGAAAGATAAATATATAACAGATAACAAAACAGCCGAAAGATAAATATATAACAGATAGATAAGAGAACAGTCGAAAGATAAATATATAACAGATAGATAACAGAACAGCCGAAAGATAAATAGATAACAGATAACAGAACAGACGAAAGCAATTCATAAGGATTTTATCATATGTATTTAAAACAATACTGGGAAGGAGAAAGACGTCCGAGTTGAATGATGGGATCTCTGACTGGTCAATGGCCTCCACTGACCAGTCAGCAATCACATCACTCAACTCAGACGTCTTTCTGCTTCCCAGTATTGCTTTAAATATTTAACAATATTGTGAATTGTGGCAGCACCCCGGGTCTTTCTTCCCATCTCACTAGTGCCACTGTGGGGAGCACCTCAGTCACTCACAGGGAGAGTGTCCCACACTCAGCATTGCAACCCTGTAGCAAGTGAGGAAACCGGCAGCTCTCGGGTCTCCAATATATGTATCCATGGACACAGACACAGGCTCCATGCTGTCGATTTGTCCGCCACAAAAGTTAATGTCCTAGGTCATCAATCTGGCTAATGTTTCATTCAGGCCTGATAATATCTATCAATACAGTGGTAATTCTGTCCCTGCATGGTGTTGTATTAATTGTGCTCAGTGTTCCAAAGCAGACGCAGGGAAACACTATAGAGGGTGAAGAAAAGAGTGAAACGAAACACATTGTAATTGAATAAACAATTTACTGCAAATAAAGGTACACTTGCTTAAGGCCGAAAATATCTTAATTGTTATATGTGGCAACAATCCCGCGGTGAAATTCAATAACAATATGGCAATACCTCACAAATGTTAATATTACAACCCATTCTTCTGTTTCTATCAAACAAGAGGAAGCAGCAGAGCAGAAGCAGCTTCCTTCAACTCCGGGAGTTGAAGGAAGCCGGCCTCAGGTAAAAGGAGGCCGTGACGATCTCTGTCTGGAACCAGTAGGTGCGGGGCTCGGTCGTCCACCTCCTGGGGGCTCGTGTGGCCAGCTCTGCATAAGGAGGCTGGGGTCGTTTTTGCGCTTGCTGGGGTGGTTCTTCTCCGGCCCCGACCATGGCGGTCTCCGGGTTTGGAGTCCCTGTGCCTTCTTTTACCAACTTCGAGGTTTAACTCCGGAGCTGGAGCCCCCTAGGGCAGTTCGTTGTTGCCTTCAACCTCGTTCTGACAGTTCCTGCAATGGCGCTTGTACCAATCGTATTGGAGTTTGCCTTTCCATTGGAGACTTTCCGCACCGTGGAGAGGAGGCACCTGCTGCTTGGGTGACAGTTTCTCCCCCGTATCAACCTACCCTGGCTTTGTGCCCTGGAGAGCCCACTCCAGACCGACAACCAGAGCGCAACTCCATAGTCTCCTATGGCTGGTGGATGCCTACTATGCCTTCTGTTTAGATAGTACCTATTGTGACGATCGTCAATAGTCAGAATTTGTACGTTCTTAGCTTTTAGATAGTAGTATATTGACTAGTAACGAATTATTTTAAAATAAATTAAGCTAAATCACAAACTTAAATATATCCAGCAAAGAATATCACTATGAATTATAAATATAAAAAATTATATAAATATCACTTTTATAATAATTTCCTTCTTCTTTTTATTAATAACACTCGACTAATCTAGATTGACAAAATATAATGCAACACAAATTTATACTTATTAGATACAGTCTTTATCTATAATAAATAATATTCACATCCTGTCAAACAATGGAAATGGGGAGGAAGATTTGGTTTACTTTAATTACTACTGAAGAACAGAGGCTGCAGTCCTAGTAACCTGTTGCAGTTGGTAGATGCTCCCTCAGGCGACTTGCATGTGTTTCATGCAGAATTCCTCTTCTTCTCCTCTTTAGTGAAACCATGGTGGAACCATCTGGCCGACGACCTTCCGACGACTGATCTCAGACGATCTCACTCTGATCAGGAGAAAAGCCCCCAGACCTTCATCTGTCTCCCACGTTGAATACTGGTCCTCTTCTCTGTAAAAGTGTTCAGTGGCTGCTATGCTGCTGATATTTTAGGGCTAGGACTTGCCACCTACACTTTCCTCACAGTTCCATCCTGGTAACAGCCCGTGGATCGACTCTCAGTCTCCCAGCACCACCTCTTGAGTCACGCTGGAGCACTGACGTCACGCAGCGTCTTGTGACCTCCTGTCACGGTCCAGCTTTCTGAGTTTTCCTATAGAAGTTGACCAGTAGCTCTTCTATGTTGCCTCTTGAGTACTTCTAAGAGTAAATGTCCCATCTGGTGGCTTAAACCTTACCTAAACGTGGGACCGACGTCCGACATGACCGGTTACGTCTTTCACTTAGTGGCTAGTGACAGCGGGCGGTGTTCCCGCCACGCAGCTCTGGCTCCGACGTCACGATATGGGCGCTCTCTGATTGGTCAAACTGGACACACTACTGCATCCGACCAATCAGATTTAAAAAAAAAAACAAAAAAAAAAAAACAGGAGACACCACGTCACCGCATCTGGGTTATTTGGCGGGAATTTGTCATCTCACTGATCTCAGCCGCCATATTTGCTGCCGTACTCACTCTCATCTCCCCAACGAATTTAACAACTTAAATAATTCATATCTTTGGCATCTTGGCTCCCTCTAAACATTATTAAACAAAAGAAGTCGCTTTCTTGGCTATTTACATGAGGAGTATGATTCTTTCTACTCAGGTAAGGAGCGTATTTAGACGATCATGTAACAGAATACAGTGACCGAACGCAGACAATAGTGTAATGAGGCATTCAAGATTCTTCATGTTGCACCAAGTTGATAAGAATAGATTTGTACTTTTAATTATGCTGTTGTGTATCCAGAGGCCCCAAGTGTTCGAGGCCCGCCCTCACAGCTGGAGACCTGGTACACAACGGCTGTGTTTTACTGCACAGAGTAACTTTTGTTGCATGTTTCACCTGTTAACATTTTGTATTTTGCTTGCAGATGTGAGAGTCGCCCTAATGAACAGGAATATCCCCATGGTGTTTACTCACTTGTTTTCTTTTTAAATTTAGATTTGGCATACATACAAGGGCGAGGTGATAGAGTGTGAGGTAAGGACGCAGCACCGGGACGGATGGTTCACGGACGACACTCATGGCTTCCTCTTCTCCCTCGCAACTCCTTTTGCTCTCCTCAGTAAACTTAGATTTGCCTTTGAGAAGCATGACGATCCCTCAACAGCCGACTTCCTGGAGTTCGAATGGGAGGAGTTAAAGGTAAAGTACTGAGGGCTCTTGTTGCGTTTCTCAACACGTGTTATTGTTGTTGTGTCCAGCATTATAATAATGGAAATTGACATTGAAATAAGTTTATTGAGGTATAAGTGCACACAAAGGGGTGAGGTAGCTCAAGCTATTCTCACCCCCGTTCAATACCACGTGTTCATATATAAATATATATATATATATATATATATATATATATATATATATATATATATATATATATATATATATATATATATATATATGTCGTACCTAATAGCCAGAACGCACTTCTCAGCCTACTATTCAAGGCCCGATTTGCCTAATAAGCCAAGTTTTCATGAATTAATGTTTTTTCGTCTACCTAACCTACCTAACCTAACCTAACCTAGCTTTTTTTGGCTACCTAACCTAACCTTACCTATAAATATAGGTTAGGTTAGGTTAGGTAGGGTTGGTTAGGTTCGGTCATATATCTACGTTAATTTTAACTCCAATAAAAAAAAATTGACCTCATACATAGAGAAAAGGGTTGCTTTATCATTTCATAAGAAAAAAATTATAGTAAATATATTAATTCAGGAAAACTTGGCTTATTAGGCAAATCGGGCCTTGAATAGTAGGCCAAAAAGTGAGTTCTGGCTACTAGGTACGACATATATATATATATATATATATATATATATATATATATATATATATATATATATATATATATATATATATATATATATATATATATATTGAAGGTGAAAAACATGGGGGGATACATAAGGGATAAACATAGGGGCTGCAGAAGGCGTATTGGCCCATACGAGGCATCTCCTATCTAAACACAAAGATTAATCCAGTGTAATTGGCCTGTTATGTTGGACATTGTCTTCTGTGTTGGCCACGACTCAAAGAAGCAGCGAAACAACTAAAAAATCTGAAAGACGTAACAATAAGAAAAGCCGACAAAACAGCAGCATATGTATTGATTCCTACCCATGAATACATGAACAAAATTAGCGACATCCTAAGTGACGACTCCAAATTTCAACGAATCACGAGGAACCCCGTAGAAGACCTTAAGCGGAAAGTAAACAAAACAATTACAGCAATCAACGCAAAGAAAGGTAGTGTGCATTTCAATAAACTTCAAGGCGACTATGGCTTAGGATATGCCTACGGCAATGTTAAGACGCATAAACCAGGTAACCCACTACGCCCTATAATCAGCCAAATACCAACCCCAACTTATCACCTGGCAAAGAAACTCAATGAACTCCTAACTCCATACACTCCAAGTAAGTTTAGTCTACAATCATCAGCAGATTTCCTAGAATTGATCAAATCTACCCAGCCCGTTGGAATCATCGCTTCCCTGGACGTTGAATCCCTTTTTACCAACGTCCCAGTCGACACAACCATAGGAATGATACTGGACAGAGTATACAGAGACGAGAGCACCCCCAAATTAGACATACCTGAGCCACACTTGAAAAGTCTTCTCGAAGCATGTACAAAGGAAGCCCCTTTCATCAGTCCACAAGGAGACATGTATTTACAAATAGACGGAGTAGCAATGGGCTCCCCCTTAGGAGTTTTATTTGCTAATTTTTATATGGGAACCATCGAAGATAGGGTCTTCAGTAGCAGACAAAAACCAACTGTATACTGCCGTTATGTAGATGACATATTCGTAATAGTAAAAAGACTCAGATGAACTAATTGACCTAAAAAGACACCTAGAGAGAGAGTCAGTACTCCGATTTACACATGAAAATAGTGAAGATAACAGTCTGCCATTCTTGGATGTACTAATAACAAAAACAGGAACCTCTTTAAGCACCAACGTATATACCAAGCCCACCAACATAGGATTATGCCTGAACGGTAGAAGTGAGTGCCCCCAAAGATACAAAGCCAGTGTTCTCAATGCTTATATTCGTCGAGCGCTTACCCACTGCTCTGAATGGAGCAACGTGAGTAGAGAGTTTGAAAGAGTAACTCAAGTATTGGTGAACAATGGATATAGCAACGCGGAAATAAACGCTGCTATAAGAAGACACTTGGACCGTTGGTATAATTCAGAACCTAGAACAGAAACCACAACACCCCCAATAAAATTATATTACAAATCAACCATGCACAGTGAACATATAAAAGAGGAAAGAATAATGAAAGAAATAATCCGTAAAGGAGTAAAAAGCACTACTCCTAACCAAAACATAAACCTGATAATATTCTACAAAACCAAGAAGACTTCCGAACTCCTTATCAAAAACAGCCCGAAGCCGACGGAGAACCCTCTACAGCAGTCAAGCGTTGTATTCATGTACACTTGCCCCCACGAAGGATGTAACCTTCAATGTAAGTACATAGGTATGACGTCGACCAAGCTGACGAGGCGTTTGACATGCCATCTTCAATCTGGTGCCCCTAGGAATCACATGAGACAAGCCCATGACATTACTCTAACAAGAGAAATGTTGAACAAGAATACTTGCATAATAGACAAAACCCAAGATTCAAGAAGATTACAAATTCTTGAGGCAATTCACATAAGAATAGAGCGACCTACCATGAACACCCAAATCACGGAACTATTTACTCTACCCACCATGAGAGTAAGGACAAGACAAGAACATATCGATGCCAACACAGAAGACAATGTCCAACATAACAGGCCAATTACACTGGATTAATCTTTGTGTTTAGATAGGAGATGCCTCGTATGGGCCAATACGCTTTCTGCAGCCCCTATGTTTATCCCTTATGTATCCCCCCATGTTTTTCACCTTCATTGTATTATCACCTGACCTAATGCGGGTATAAAATCAACTAATATATATATATATATATATATATATATATATATATATATATATATATATATATATATATATATATATATATATATATATATAAATACACACACATCACAAACAATCAACATGTTACTGAACATTGTGAGTGAAAAATATACATTTCTTCCTTTACACATGCAGTATCCTACCAGACCTACACACAAATACTTTTATTACTGTGCAAGGCGACGCTTCACTTTCGTACACCGTAACATTGGTAGTTCGGTACCATCAGATTCGTCGTCCTTTTCCAGGAATTCCAGTTGTCCGTTGGCAACTTCCTATTAGCAACCCCAGTATCAGCAACTGGCACTCGTTTCACACCGCAAGCCCTTCGAATTCCTGTGGCTACTCCAATCCACACTGAATATAGGTGTATTTGCGGCGAGGCAGTAGCCGACAGGTACGGACGGCATGGCCTTCTCTGCCAAAGGACAGGAGGATGGCATGCAAGACACGGCGAGGTTAACAACATTATCAAGAGAAGCCTTTCCACAGCCGGTTGTCCAGTAGAGAGAGAGCCCCGTACGGTCGCCCAGACGGGATCACAGTGAACTCCTGGAAAAATGGTAGACAGTTGGTGTGGGACTACACTTTTGTTTCAATTTTAGCCAACACCTATGTTAACTTCAGTGCTGCACAGGCAGGAGATGCTGTCAATCACCGGGAAGCAGCCAAGTCATGTGAATACAGAGACCTTGATCACAACTACAATTTTGTCCCCATTGCCTCAGAGACACTTGGTGCCTGATTATCTTGAGATGATTTCGGGGCTTTTTAGTGTCCCCGCGGCCCGGTCCTCGACCAGGCCTCCACCCCCAGGAAGCAGCCCGTGACAGCTGACTAACACCCAGGTACCTATTTTAATGCTAGGTAACAGGAGCATTGGGTGAAAGAAACTCTGCCCATTGTTTCTCGCCGGCGCCTGGGATCGAACCCAGGACCACAGGATCACAAGTCCAGCGTGCTGTCCGCTCGGCCGACGGACCCCGGCCTGGGGTAAAAGTGTTGCAGGTTTTTTTGAAGGAGCTGGGGTCCAAGCTAATTGAAACAACTAGACACCCTAGAGCCACCAGTTTTCTCTTTCAGCACCTTAGTGTGGCGATCCAGATAGGAAATGCTCACTGCATCCATGGTTCCTGCCCGCCATCTGAGGAACTGGAGGACCTGTACAACTTGTGACAAGTAGTCTTGTACCTTGCATGTAACCAATGTTGTAACCCTTTTTGTGTAATGAAATTTTAAAACAAAGTTAGATATATATACGCACACTAAAAGAATAGGGGTAGTTGGAGAAGAAAATATCAAAGTGTTCAGTGAGGATCCACAAGGTCTTCCCTGAGTACTCTTTATTTTCTTCTCCTAGGCTATGGCTCCCTACACTTGCACTAGAGGTGGTACCCCTTTTAGGTATAATATATATTTATATATATATATATATATATATATATATATATATATATATATATATATATATATATATATATATATATATATATATATATATATATATATATATATATATATATATATATATATATATATATATATATATATATATGTCGTACCTAGTAGCCAGAACGCACTTCTCAGCCTACTATGCAAGGCCCGATTTGCCTAATAAGCCAAGTTTTCATGAATTAATTGTTTTTCGACCTCCTAACATACCTAACCTAACCTAACCTAACCTAACGTTTTCGGATACCTAACCCAACCTAACCTATAGAGATAGGTTAGGTTAGGTTAGGTAGGGTTGGTTAGGTTCGGTCATATACCAACGTTAATTTAACCTCCAATAAAAAATAATTGGCCTCATACATAATGAAATGGGTAGCTTTATCATTTCATAAGAAAAAAATTAGAGAAAATATATTAATTCAGGAAAACTTGGCTTATTAGGCAAATCGAGCCTTGCATAGTAGGCCGAGTACGACGTTCTGGCTACTAGGTACAACATATATATATATATATATATATATATATATATATATATATATATATATATATATATATATATATATATACAACTTTAGAACACTTTCCCACCAGGAGACTCGAACCCTAGCCAGCACAGAGGCCTTCCAGCAACTGGCATAACAGGTACGCCTTAACCCTCTCCACCACCTGCTCAGACCCTTAAAAGAGATGGTAATTTCGGAG